ACAACTCCTCACGTTTCGGCAAGTATATCGAGATCATGTTTGACGAAAAGACCAACATCATTGGCGCCAAGATTCGCACTTACCTTCTGGAGCGATCCAGGCTGGTTTTTCAACCTCTCAAGGAGCGCAACTATCACATCTTCTACCAATTGGTAGCAGGTGCTTCGGATACCGAGCGTCAACAGCTGAACATTCTTCCAATCGAGCAGTACGAGTATTTGAACCAGGGCAACTGCCCCACAATTGATGGAGTCGATGACAAGGCTGAATTCGAGGCGACCAAGAGTTCTCTGAAGACCATTGGTGTGACGGAGGCTCAGCAGTCCGAGATCTTCAGGCTCTTGGCTGGTTTGCTCCACCTGGGAAATGTCAAGATCGGAGCGTCGCGTAACGATAGCGTTCTTGCGCCGACAGAACCGTCCCTGGAGCTAGCCTGCTCGATTCTGGGCGTCAATGGGGCTGAATTCGCCAAGTGGATTGTTAAAAAACAGCTTGTCACGAGGGGCGAGAAGATCACGTCCAACCTTACGCAAGCTCAAGCCATTGTCGTTCGAGATTCCGTTGCCAAGTTTATCTATTCTAGCCTGTTTGACTGGCTCGTCGAGATCATCAACATGAGTTTGGCGACTGAGGATGTCCTGAACCGCGTTACATCTTTCATTGGTGTGCTCGATATCTATGGCTTCGAACACTTTGCGAAGAATTCGTTCGAGCAATTTTGCATCAACTACGCCAATGAAAAACTGCAACAGGAATTCAACCAGCACGTCTTCAAGCTGGAGCAGGAAGAATATCTCAGAGAGCAAATCGACTGGACATTCATCGAGTTCTCAGACAACCAGCCCGCCATCGACTTGATTGAGGGCAAACTCGGTATCCTGTCTTTACTGGACGAAGAGTCCCGTCTGCCGATGGGCTCAGATGAACAATTCGTCATGAAGCTGCACAATCAATACGGGACCGACAAGCACAAATTTTACAAGAAGCCGAGGTTCGGAAAGTCTGCCTTCACAGTTTGCCACTATGCGGTAGACGTCACCTACGAGTCAGAGGGATTCATTGAGAAGAATCGTGATACTGTTCCGGACGAGCACATGGCTGTCCTCCGCGCCAGCACAAACGACTTCCTCCGCAACGTTCTCGATGCTGCCGCTGCCGTTAGAGAGAAGGATGTGGCATCTGCCTCGTCCAGCTCCGTGAAGCCCGCTGCTGGTAGGAAGATCGGCGTGGCTGTCAACAGGAAGCCGACTCTCGGAGGCATTTTTCGCTCCTCGCTGATTGAGCTCATGAATACCATTAACAACACGGATGTGCACTACATTCGTTGTATCAAGCCTAACGAGGCCAAAGAGTCATGGAAGTTTGAGGGCCCAATGGTTCTTAGCCAGCTGCGAGCTTGCGGTGTTCTCGAGACTGTGCGTATAAGTTGCGCTGGTTACCCCACAAGATGGACTTACGAGGAATTCGCTCTCCGGTACTATATGCTTGTCCATTCCGACCAGTGGACATCAGAGATTCGAGAGATGGCCAACGCCATCCTGTCCAAGGCCCTAGGTTCTAGCTCTGGAAAAGGCACGGATAAGTATCAGCTGGGCCTCACCAAGATCTTCTTCCGTGCTGGCATGCTTGCTTTCCTTGAGAACTTGCGCACTAGTCGCCTGAACGACTGCGCAATCCTCATTCAGAAGAATCTTCGCGCCAAGTTCTACCGCAACCGCTATCTTGAGGCTCGCAACGCTATCGTGACTTTTCAGTCCGCCGTGCGAGCGTACATTGCCCGAAAGCAAGCCCAGGAACTCCGCACTGTCAAAGCAGCAACAACAATTCAGCGGGTTTGGCGTGGCCACAGGCAAAGAAAAGAGTACTTACGCATCAGGAACGATGTCGTCCTGGCGCAAGCGGCGGCCAAAGGTTACCTTCGAAGAAAAGAAATCATGGAGACCCGCGTAGGCAACGCTGCTATTCTCATTCAGCGAGTGTGGCGGTCTCGTCGACAGGTGCTTGCTTGGAGGCAGTACCGGAAGAAGGTCACTCTTATTCAAAGCTTGTGGCGTGGCAGAATGGCTAGGCGTGACTACAAGAAGGTCCGCGAGGAGGCCCGTGATCTGAAGCAGATTTCCTACAAGCTGGAAAACAAGGTCGTCGAGCTGACACAATCTTTGGGTTCCATGAAGACTCAGAACAAGAACTTGGTATCTCAGGTTGAAAATTACGAGGGGCAGATCAAGGCATGGAAGAACCGCCACAACGCTCTCGAGGCTCGCACGAAAGAGCTTCAAACGGAGGCCAACCAGGGAAGCATTGCAGTCGCCAGGCTGCAGGCAATGGAGGACGAGATGAAGAAGCTCCAGCAGAGCTTCGAAGAGTCAACTTCCAACATCAAGAGAATGCAAGAGGAGGAGCGGGAGCTCAGAGAGTCCCTGCGCTCCACAAGCACCGAGCTGGAGACTGTCCGACAACAGAGCGCCCAAATTGAAAGCGAGAAGCTGTCCTTGCGCCAACAGTTAGCCGAGCTTCAAGATCAGTTGGAGCTGGCCAGGAGACTTGCTCCTGCCAACGGCGAGCTCACCAACGGCGCCGTTCAAGCGCAGGCCTCGGCTGCCAGCGGTCTCATCAACCTCGTTTCCTCCAAGAAGCCCAAGCGCCGCAGCGCCGGTGCCGAGCCGCGAGAGATGGATCGCTTCAGCGCTGCGTACAACCCTCGACCCGTCTCCATGGCCGTTACCAGCACCGCCTTGAGGCAGAATCTCCAAGGCGCTGGTGGCTTCACACCCAATGTGGACAACATCGAGCTAGAGCTGGAGACTCTCCTAGCCGACGAGGATGGTCTGAACGAGGAGGTCACCATGGGTCTCATCCGCAATCTCAAAATCCCGTCCCCCAACACAAACCCCCCGCCATCCGACAAGGAGGTTCTTTTCCCTTCGTACCTCATCAACCTCGTCACTTCGGAAATGTGGAACAATGGCTTTGTGAAAGAATCTGAGCGTTTCCTAGCCAACGTCATGCAGTCTATCCAGCAGGAGGTCATGCAACATGACGGCGACGAGGCCATTAACCCGGGTGCCTTCTGGTTATCCAATGTCCACGAAATGTTGTCCTTCGTCTTCCTCGCGGAAGACTGGTACGAGGCCCAGAAGACGGACAACTATGAGTACGACCGTCTGTTGGAGATCGTCAAGCACGACCTTGAGAGCTTGGAATTCAACATTTACCACACTTGGATGAAGGTGCTAAAGAAGAAGCTCCATAAGATGATTATTCCCGCCATCATCGAGTCTCAGTCCCTTCCAGGATTTGTCACCAACGAGAGCAGTCGCTTCCTCGGCAAGCTTCTGCAGTCCAACTCGACGCCCGCTTACAGTATGGACAACCTCCTCAGCCTGCTGAACAGCGTTTTCCGCGCCATGAAAGCCTATTACTTGGAAGACTCAATCATCACCCAAACGATTACTGAGCTACTCCGCCTGGTCGGCGTCACTGCCTTCAACGACCTGTTGATGAGACGAAACTTCCTCTCCTGGAAGCGCGGTCTTCAGATCAATTACAATATCACTCGTATTGAGGAGTGGTGCAAGAGTCATGACATGCCCGAGGGAACTCTTCAGCTGGAGCACTTGATGGTATGACCTGAGCTCAATTCCGAATACAAAGATATCAGCCAACTAACTGTCACACAGCAAGCAACGAAGCTCCTGCAGCTAAAGAAGGCCACCTTGAATGACATCGAGATCATTCAGGATATTTGCTGGATGTAAGCAAGAACCAAAAGCCGACATAGATGGCGCCAGAACGCTAACATAGTTATCTCTCTAGGCTGTCGCCCAATCAGATCCAGAAGCTCTTGAACCAGTACCTCGTGGCAGACTACGAGCAGCCTATCAACGGCGAAATCATGAAGGCTGTAGCCTCTCGCGTGACGGAGAAGAGCGATGTCTTGCTTCTGCAGGCTGTCGACATGGACGATAGTGGCCCATACGAGATTGCGGAGCCCAGAGTCATCACTGCTTTGGAAACTTACACTCCCTCATGTGAGCAGCCAGTGGTGCATGAACATATCGTGAAGTTGCTTGCTAACGATCTGATGAACAGGGCTCCAAACACCGCGACTGAAGCGACTTGCTGAGATCGTCTCAGCGCAGGCGATTGCTCAGCAAGAGAAGTTGGACTACGACCCTGAGGACGGCTTCGAGCCCAATGGCGACCTCGCCGAAGTTGACGAGAACGAGGTGGCGGCGTGAGTTGATGCTCGGAGGGAGCGTATAGGGGGTTTGCCTTGTGTTTTTAAAGGGGGGGGGGAGGCAGTGGGCAAGAAAGCCAGCTGCTGGTGGCAGGGCGTCGCTCGCTGCCGTCTGGTCCAAGTCGAGCACTGGCATAATGAAGCTGTCAAGTGTGTGATGACTTTGTGTGGGCGGCGAAATGCCTTTACCTCCGTGTTATGAACTAGAGCTGGGTATTTACAGCGGCAGCTTTTGCATGGGTAATGTAGAAGAAGCAGTCTTTCTGGCGTCGTGTGTTAAGGATATCGCCAATTGATTGAATCAGGGGACACGTGTATTTACACTCATATAAAGGTAGATACAATCGCACTAGGACCATGACATGTATGAGAATGGCGTTTCGACAACTTACCCTATAGACGTAGTGTGCACGTTTTGTTGCTTCGTAAATATTGTTGGCATCGTTGAATGAGGATCATACGCCCGATCTCCATCGATCTTTCTTGATTGACTGACGCCTGACCCACGATTGTTATCAGCACGTGATACTGGAAAAAATTCCGAAGCCCTATCGTATAGATGCATGTGGAACTGCCCCTCTCTGTCCTTTAATGCAATAGACGAAGTAGCACCCCACCATCTTTTTCTCCTTCGTCGGCCACTCATCCATATATCGATGCCAGGTCTCACTGAGTATCATATGCATGGTCGGCATCCTTTCTGTGCTGCTTTATAATTCGAAAGCCTCTTCTGTTTGAAGGAACCGATGAACAAGACAAAATGAGGACTTCACCCAACATTATTATCACTGGCACACCGGGTGTTGGCAAGACAACCCATTGTGAAGAGCTCGCAAGGAGGTCAGGCCTGAAACATCTCTCCGTGAATCAGGTTGTCAAGGATCGAGAATGTCATGAGGGTTGGGATGATGAATTTCAAAGTTGGATCGTTGACGAGGATAAGGTTGGCATTCTACACCCCTCCTCCCGCCTATCCCCCCTCGCCCTTTCTCTCTAGGTTGCTTTTCACTCTTAGACCCTCTTCCCATTCCCGATTCGAAAACCTAGACCGAACCCTTCCTGGTAGACTAGGCTAATGATACATTATATAGCTGCTGGACGCCATCGAGGCTGAGGTTTCGAGTGGTGGGTATATCATCGATTGGCACGCCTGTGACCTCTTTCCCAAGAGCTGGATCGACCTTGTGGTGGTCCTTCGCGTTGACTCGACTACACTCTACGATCGTTTAACAGCGAGGTAAGAAACAACATCAAATATCCGCTGTGCGTGTTCTTTGCGGGTATTCCACTTTGGGGTGGGAAACAGCGATAACAATGGGCTTCGGCTTACTGAATTGCGACATAGAAAATACCCCGAGGCAAAGCTGCAGGAAAATCTTGATTCGGAGATCATGGAAGTTCTTCTACAGGAAGCGAGGGATGCTTTCGACGAGGAAATCGTGGTTGAGCTCACAAGCAACACTTCCGATGAGATGGAGACGAACGTCTCACGGGTTGAGGAGTGGTTAGAGCAGTGGAAGAAGGACCATTCCCCATGAAGGAAGTTATGGTTCTAGAACAAGGCTCAAGTCCATCTCACTGATTTCGGTCGGACTTGGTTTGGTCAATGTTGCCGAGTCAGAGAGCTTGACTTTGAGCTGGAGAATGGTATGCCAGTGAGTCGTCATACGCGCAAAGCTTCGCTCCGGCTTACGAGTCGATATTATGAAAACGCACTCCTTAGGTATGAGAGATGGAGAACCGCAATCTTAAAGCTGCTAGCCCGGGAAGCCTTGAGTCTATTGTGCTAGATTGCCTCCTCCCAAATTGCCTTTAAGCTGGCCTGTAGATAGCCGCAATATGCACCAAGACGTGCATCGCCCCGATAGAGTATAACATAGAAAATCACCCCGGTCTTCGTACAACCACCTGCGACCCAGAGCTTCTTACGCACCTTAGGCTGTGAAACATATCCAGTCAAAGCGAAGTCACTGCAAGAACAGTTGGCTTCCTCTACTGCTCCATTCTCCCTCCCCACAAGTCTCGTCCAAATCCCGGCTGTATCGTACGCACACGGTTCTCACTCACCATGGCGACGCCACCGGTTGTTAACTTTATCACTGGCAACGCCAACAAGTTGCGCGAGGTCAAGGCCATCCTTGAACCGGCCATCGCCGTGCAAAGTCAAGCGATAGATTTGGATGAAGTCCAAGGCACTGTTGAAGAGGTCACGATCGCGAAGTGCCGTAAGGCTGCAGACACGGTGAGATGCTTGTGAGCGATATGGTTTTTACTAAATGCTGAGTTATATACTTTACCTCTACAGGTCCAGGGCCCTGTTCTAGTCGAGGACACATGTCTTTGTTTCAAGGCTCTCAACGACCTCCCTGGTCCATACATGTAAGCGTGCGCGACTACTTATCCACGCTTCGGCTCTCTATCTTCCCTGCCTGTCGTTTCTTGGCACTGCTGCGAGACACTGATGGTTTCCAGCAAGTGGTTCATGCAGTCTATTGGGCATCAAGGTTTAAACAATCTCCTTGCCGCTTACTCGGATAAGTCCGCCGACGCTGTCTGTACTTTTGCTTATTCTCCTGGCCCTGGCCATGAGCCAGTCCTTTTTCAAGGTCGCACCGGGGTAAGAAGTGGACGATGATCATCAGAACGCCGTTTGCGCTCAAAGGCTCATGCTACATACAGGGCAAGATTGTGCCACCCCGGGGTCCCACGGATTTCGGTGAGTAGTTGTAAAGGCTTCGGTCGTTTTGATTCTGACAAGGTTGAGGCTGGGACGCTATCTTCGAGTACGATGGTCAAACGTAAGTCCCACTCTGGTCCTCGTCTCAAAGAACCCTCTTAATAAATCAACACAGCTACGCCGAGATGGATAAGACCGCGAAGAACAACATATCTCACCGCGGCCTCGCGCTCAAGAAGCTGCAGGAGTGGTTTGCCCAGAAGGCAGACTTAGTCTCTCAGTAGCGCGTCGAGAGCCAATTGGCACTTGTCTCTCCACATGACATGAAGTTCGCGGGATCCCTATCTGCTGCTCTGTGGAGGGCTGAGCTGCGGCCCATCGAGTCTGCGGCACAGTGTCAACTTGGGGCTATCATGTACGCATTATCTCGTGGTCGCTTACCTGAGAATTTCGAACTCGCGATATCGGCGAAGGTATTTTGAACCGCGACGATAGGGCTTGAGCGATTCATCGGCAGACCTGTGCTTGAAAGTTTGGCCTATGAGTCGGGCGAGTGCAGGCGCATCGCGGAACATGGGATCGAAAACCAGCAGATTCGAAGGGCCATTCTTTTGTCTCTCGAACCCCACGATTGTTAAAGAGTGCCCTGCAAGCAGTTAGCGTCGACAGGTCTGATAGAGCACTTTTATATACCGGCATGCTGGAAATATATGGGCGGAAGCTGCGTGCATGTGACTTTGGCGGGTGGGCTTTGCATTCCATGCTTGAAGTACTGCTCAACAGCATACATCAACTTGGCTTCGGATCTCCCTGGCTCCGCATCTTTGAACCCCTGAGCAGTGCACCTACGGTCCTGTCAACGGCGTGCTGAGAAGAGAATTCAAGTCTGCAGACTCACGGTATCTGAAGGCTGACAAAGAGCGCTTGAGCCTGTATTTTGCACTTAGTCGATGTATGCATTCCTCGAAAAGGAAAGTCTCACCTCCGGCGTTCCAATATATTTACGAGTGCCCTTGATACCTCCCGTTTCAAGACGGCCTTGAGCGTTAATGCCCATATCCCACGCATTTTCGATGTACTCTTGTATTTCGAATATGGTGGGCAAACGTCCCCTGAACTGATCTCTGCCGTAGGCGTTCGCACCGTTGATGTAAGAAACCATCATCTGTATGTTGCGATAGCCGCAGAAACCACCTCGCCATATGTCAGTATGTGCCGGGACGAAGGGAAGTGGGATTTGACTACCTTCTTTCTTCAGCTTAGAGACGTGTTGCACGGCGGGGTGACAAAGATACGCATATTCTGTAGACCTGCTCTGCCGAAGAAGCTGTTCGAGAACGTTGATCACCCCTGAAACTTAGTATGCGGTCCATCACAGCCTGATAGATGTACGAACCGTCGCTTGTTACCTCCCCGCCTTTGTGAAGTAGCGAAACGAGCCAGTCAGGCATGGTTTGTTCATGCGCGTATTTGCCCAGCTCGGCTTTCTGGTACCTGTCAGCACATGTGAGGACACCGACACGTCGTCTAAGCGGACATACTCCCAAACGCTTGTCCCCTGTCGCGCCCTTTTCTTTGGGCTGGGGCATTGACAAGAGCTGGCCCCATTGCTGTATGGCAGTCCTCTGCGTGTCGCCTGCAGATCCACTACCAGCATGACTGCTGCTGCTCACGGCCCCGACTTCGGTAGTCACTCTGGAGCTCGCGGTACCGTGGGCCGTATGGTTCTCAGACGGATCGCCGACCCCTTGCCGCTGTTCTTCGACGTGGAGGTCAACATGGTAGTCCATCTCAGTTAGAGAGAGCACTTCGCCGCATCCTTCGATGGGGCACTCAGCATACTGCTCCTGAGCTGCCTGGGAGGATGAGGCCTGGTCTTCTTCTGGATGAAAAGATTCCATATGCTGGGAAGCCGATCAGTGTCAAGTTCCAGTGATTCGCGTCTGGTTCGTGGACACACCGTCAGCATCTCATATTCACCGCCGCCGGCGATTCCGCAGAAGGGACAGATCATGGTGTTCGCCATGCTGCCGAGTTCAGAACTTCGGTGAAGCGAATAAGATTAGTTTGGTGGAACTAATAATGAGATGAGGGGGTCGAAGGAGAATCGAAGAGGGCGGTTCAAAAAGGCATGAAAACGAGGCCAGGTTAATCGACTTAATGTTCCTGCAAGCAATTGAGCTTGGCTCGATGGTTGTCTCGGATTGAATCAGTACTGTGAAGTGCCTTTGCAAAAGTAACTGCAAAGAACTCAACTCGCTCACGGTAGAACAAGACACAAAGAGAGGTGGCTAAATTGTTGCGCCCAAGAGTCCTAGTAATCGCCTGAGCCCTGGGCGCGCAAGACCACGTGGTTTTGAAAGGAAGACAAATTAGTGAAATGTGCCGCAAGTTCGCCAGTGTAGCGCGCGGCAATATCTTCGGAAACTGGTCGTCGAGACGGGGGCAACAACTCAGTTGACTTCTCTACCACGACGCGAAAGGAAAGGGATTAGTTAGTAGAAGAGGTCCAGAGTTCTCTGATTATTGGATGTTACCCAAGCATTGGGAGGAAGTTCCTACGCAGGGTTCGCATGGAGGCTTCCCAGAAACGTAGAACCAATTAGGGGTCAGCTCCATCGGCGTTAGAGCATGAAGTGATGTGCCCAGTCTGAGAAGCGGTTATGCAGGCCGGCGTAAGCTGCAACTCTCTGTCGATTAGGCAGTGTAGCTGCAGCCATTACCTTATCTTATCATGGAGCCAAACCTGTCCAGAATCACTACTTCATGGCATGTCACATACGCATGTAATTACATGCTGAGTTTACCAAGAAAGCGCATGGTCCTCGCATCATTTTGCAGTGAGCTCCTAGGAAGTCAAAAAGGAACATCATGCATGCCATATCTAGCCGGCGTGGGAGATTGAACCTTGGTTTTTTGGAGGGTTGCATACGGCGACTGCCCTGAGACATCTGCATGCCCATGCTCAACTGGTTCGAGTCGCTGGTTCATTTCAACAGCAACAACGCTTGCAAGCGGTCACGTCCGCTGGAGGAAAACAAGAACGTCGTTAGTATTGTTACAGATGATCTATGAATCGTTACATGAGGGTGCATTTGCCGCCTTCTGCGGCCTCGTTTGGATTTTGTGCCTTCTCGATCTGTGCGATCAGTATTTCAAACGCCTTGGAGACGTTCTCGTTATAACGCGCGCTCGCCTCGGTCCATCCACACTGGATCCTTTCGGATAGCTTTTTTCCCTCTTCGGCGCTGACCTGGCGTTGCTCGGGACGCAGATCGCTCTTGTTGCCGACGATGACAATCGGCACGGACTCAGTGCCCTGGAAGCGACCAGTCGCATCGTAAGCTTTGCTCGCTTTCCCAGAGGATAAAGGACTCCAGACGTACCAGGTGGTTCAATATCTTCTCTCGAATAACCTGCACCATCTCAAATGATGGCAACGAAGAGACGGAGTACACTAGCATATACCCGTGGATGCCAATGAAGTGCTTCGAGTTCAGAATGCTGTATTCATCCTATGCAGAACAGGCTGTCAGCGACAGTCTACATTTCGACCGCGATTGCCCCATATCGATCGAGTTGTCGGTAACGCGAGAGAGTGTGTTGGCCGGCGACGTACTTGGCCAGCAGTGTCAACTATCTCTGTAGCAAACTCCTGCCCCTTATAACGTATGGTTTTGCTGAAGGTATTCTCGATGGTCGGATAGTAGCTGTCAACAAAATGGCCGTCCACAAACTGAACGGCAAGCGAAGATTTGCCTATACGTTGGGTGATCCGTCATCAGCAAAAAGGACGTCATAGATTGTCGGATGGTTCATCTCGACACAAACCACCGTCGCAACAAAAAGAGCGAGACCCCAACCCAGTTCGACTTGAAAGAAGCGACTGTTGGACCTACCGACGGACCGACTGCCAACAATGGCCACCTTCCTGTTCTTTGGCGCTGGCATTTATCTGGTACTCAAACGAGCCTGTTTCGGCTCGGCTTCTCGTGCGAAATTGGCTTGAATGATGGTCAGTGGGTGTCAAAGAATAGGAAGGTGACTGGTTTCAATCACATACGGAAGATGGGCGATGCACCAGTTGAGGTTCAACAGGGCGCTTTGGTGGGGGATAAGGCGGTATCGGGATGGAGTTGCAAATGAGAGAGGTGTGAGAAGGCAATAGATACCTCCCGCAGTCGCGGGAAGCATGCATGTGCCACTCCCAGTACCCGGTGACAGACGCTCCCACTGCCTAACAAATGACCATGTTCCACTAAATTAGAGGTGTCGGCAGGGACGTTGGTGGAGTAAGCAGCACGACCAAGCAGCTGCTTTGAGCTGCCCGCCACTGTCACACACCCTGGGGCTACGTATTGTGGGGTCAGTGAGTGTGAGGTCAGGTAAGGCACCTTACATACCTATCGTAGTACAGATAGTGCAGTGCGGTGACGCTTGCCCCTCCCTGCGGGCCCAAGATGAAGATGCCAGCTGCCTGAGGTAAGACAACCTCACTATCATGCTTCGACTTTACCAGTCGGTTAGAGGAGTTCCCGCTCGCATCCCGCTCGCATTTTGCCTATTCTTGGGGCTTACACTTCCCATTGCCTTTTTGGACGCATTATAACATCATTCCGAGTGCATCCAAAGAACTTTCTGGTTGACTTCTATACTCATGCACGTTAACAGCAGATGGATGTTACATAACCCGTGTCTAGCTAGCTAGGTAGCAACCAGATTTCAACCGGAAATCCCTCCTACTATCAGTTCGCGTGAGAAGCCCGGCGTCTCCGCGTTCTTAACCTCCTCTACGGGACAGCAAGGCCTCCCAGATGAGCAATAGCTCAGGTAGAATCATTTGGTCCGAAAAACAAAAAGGCCACCCACGCGAACAGGGCCAGTGTCATTAGCCGTCACCTATCTTCGGGGACGTGGTACGCAGGTGTCAGTGGCCATTCATGTAATGTAAGTCATTTCATCGTCTTGTTAATTGCCGGGTACTTTCTACCCCCTCATATCGTCGTAAAGAGTGCCACGCGGTCGAGTTTGTCATGCGAGTACCCTGCCCTTCTGCCTCAGCTCGTTGACTAGGTTTTGTAGGCTCGTCGTTAGCTCGTCTGTGTCAACCTTTGCGTGCAAAGCCATAAACTCTTGGATCGAATCAAGTAGATACTTGATGCCCCTCCCTTGGCTTTTCTCTTCCAACCGTCGCCGAACCTTAGATCCCAGGCAAAGGTAGCCCAGAAGAATGGCCAAATAGCCGTGGGCTACGGCCACTGATGTCTTTTCTACAGAGTCGGCCTATTGTTTTGTTGTCAGTCTCATTGAACCCATAGTCTTCATTGGGCAGTGAACTCACCATGACAGCTGATTCTCGGTAATCTAGATAAACCTCCATTAGCTTTTCCAGCGGTGATCCATCATCACCTTGCCAAGCGTCAACCGACTGGCGGGTCGAGGGGCAATGCTCAGAGGTATTGATCATGACCCCAAGCATTAGCATGAGCATCTCGTAAATATCTTTAGAAAAGGCCCCGTTGCGGATGGACTGCTCTAGCAACTCAAACGCTGCGAGACTGGTAGCAGCCAGCTCTCGAAAGAGTTCACCCCTACTAAATGCGCCAGCTGCGGTCGGGTTGTTGTTCGTTGTGTTCAGAGCTAGTTTCAGCGTTGTGGACTCGAATTCACCGAACTCTGCCATTGGCCGAGACATGGCTGCCGTGAGGATGTCTGCGAGGATGGGCAAGTAGCGTTTGGTCCATTGGGGGCCAGCATCGGACTGCATGGCCATAATCGAGCACCCCTCCAAAAGGGACAGCGCGATCCCACCTTCGGTAGTTCCCATTCCCTGATCACGACTGTGTTCCCAGCCTTTCTTGACAAACCCAAACAAACGATCCGTCAAGCTTGCGAGGATGGCCCTCGTAGCCAGACCATCATTGTCTTTGCATAACAAGGACAGGACTTTGAGAGCCAGTATTCTTGGCGACAAGTTTCTCGGGGGCGAGCCTTTCCAAATCTCCAACCTTTCCAGAGTCAATCGCAGCATGGCCAAAGAACCTTGCCCATTCTTGGAGAGATTTGACTTCCGCTGACTAGCAAGGCTAATGATGTCCTCGTCCTCGTCAAACATCGTAGACGCCAGTTGCGCGATGCCCTCAGACTGAAGCTGTGGAACTAGATGAGGAACCGAATATGACGTGAAGAGCACCAGAAGGACGGACAAGAGGATGAATCCACTGATGACATCCTCCTCAGTACCAAGTGCCCGGAATAAGGCATCCTTGGCACCTTGGTCTCGGAATTGGCGTACGAATGTCTTGTCCCGGAGTTTGGTGGCCAGCTCTAGTAGCGCCGTACGTCTTGAGCGAGAAGACTGCGACTTTGGCGGCTGAGGAGTTCCTACTCTATCCAGGAGATCAGCCATGCTGTCTGCGAACCGATGATTGGCACCGGCCTGCCTGAGAGCATGGATGTCAATGATGCCGCCGCCTTTGGATGACGGGACCTCCTCCATTTCCTCTTCCTCAAAGGAGAATGAAGCCAGCTTAGACATTGGAGGAGGCGACAGGTCAAGCTGACTATCGATACCCAGACTCATTTGGCTTCCAAGACCGTCTCCACCTGACTCATCTGCCTTGAGTGTCCTCTGCTCTCCGTACGTCGACCGGAATTTTCTTTGACTCAAAAGCGGTTTTGGTCGCGTCGACGGCCTTGGGGTTGTCGCTGCGTCTGTGGGCCTCATCGGCGTAGAAAGCGAACTTTGGCTCTTGGCCATCTCTGCAATGCTACCCTCCGTCACATCAGACGCGTCCGACTCGTAGTCAGAACTATCTTCATCATTCTGGGCTGCCAGTTGGTCGATCAAGCGTACGCGCCTTGCCACGTGTAGACGTTTCTGCTTTGGGATAGAAGACTCGACCGCCATCGAAGCCGCACGGATGAATCTGGATTCTATCTGAGAGGAGCGCCCTGGTGTTTTGTGCCGTATCTGCGAACTACTTTCGCTCTTCTGCCGGGTGTTGCTTTCGACTGCGGCCTGAGCATCGAGAAGAGACGCCTCACCCTGCTGGTGACGTACAGACTTTTCTGGCTCAAGGCTCGGCGTGGGTCCTGGGATGAGTACGGATTTCGCCTTAGGCGCAGGCTTGGACGATGGCGGCTTCGATTCATGCTTCGCGAGGCGGAGGGATGCTGCGCTGCTCGAGTCGAAAGGCGACTTGCCACGGCGTGGATGAGAGGGTATTGTTGATTGCGCAATATGCGGAACGGGGTGGCTACCGGGCCTGCGGTCGGGCTTGATAGTAACGGTTGTTGGTACTTTCCTCTTCTTGAAGCTCGCAGGAGCATCCGAAGTTATGGTGGATGAACGGTCCAGCTGTGCCGCGGCGCGTCGAGAGAGGGATGATGGCAGGTGCGTAGGCTCGTCATCGGACATATCATAGGGGTCTCGGTTCGGGTCTGTGGGAATACGCTGCGTGGAGGTTTCTTTCCCGTCACTGCCGGAGCGTTGCGAGCTATTCGACAGCTCAAGAAACGCGTGTATAGGTCGTTTGCGCGAGGTCTTGCCGTAAGTCGTGGTTTTCTTCCGAGGAACGCTGGGCCCATCTTGAGTAGCCATATTGTGTGGAAGTCTATACCAATAAAGAGTATGCGACGCTGCGACGCGTTATGGGAGGGCTAGCAATCCCGTTGCACCTTTTGGTGAGCAACACGCTCCATGCAGAGAGAGGGAGCGACAGAGGAGTAGGAATGGAGGGGACGGTTAACTGCCGATTGATGCGACGGCGACTCAAGTTCGAACGGGCGTGGGTATCGTGCTTTCGCGGTCGAGTGCTGTCAAAATAATGCGCCGTCAAACGCAAGCCAGTGTGAATAGTAGCTGGCGAAGAGCTCTGAGGCGAAGAAAAAGCAAAGCCGGCGTCAAGTGCTCCGAAATGCACAACAAATGGGACAGGGCACGTTGTGGTAGAACGGACGAGGCGTGATGAGGCGCGAATATGTCTAGTCGGGGCCTTGGGAAATAAACACCCAAGAGCGCGCCTGCGGCTAAAGGCGACGGCGATAGCGGTGCGATGAGAGTGATTGATCGCGATAGTTGTGATTGGTGGCGAGTTTCCGCAGTTACTTTTGCACCTTGCAAGAGACAAAGTTGCTCTCGAAAGCAAGGTTACCTTTTGCTGTTTTGTTCCTTGGTCACAGATGGCGCGCATGGGGGACGGCAGTTGCTTTTCTCTCTTGGTCTGACCTTCTACGCCTTGCGCAGGCGCATGGCAGCTTACCGATGAGAGTACGTACTGCCTACTCCTCTGCCATTTGCGTCCACTGCATCAATGCCCCGGTTGTGCGATATCCGGGCATCAAGTTAATTACTGAAGCTGCAACCGCTTAATAAGAAGTACGTACATCATACTACATTCTCGAGTTCCCTATACGATGAGTATCTCGTTTACACAGGAGAAAAGAAGAAGCAAAGGAGAGCGAGGAAGATAGAAAGAAGAGAGACACATCTAAAGAGACGGGAAGGGCATGTACCTTCGTACAGATAGGCATATAGAAACAGAGAGAAATCGACAAGAAAAACAGCCCGATAACGCGGTGCTTAGGAAACGAGAATGGTGCCTTAGGTACTTGCTTGATCCATCCAACAACCCCACACGTCCCTTATCTCTTCACAGTGCCTCGTTTATCACCTCACCTAAAAACCCAAGGCGAGAACTGGCAGTGGTTGATCCCTTGACTGCCCCTCTCTCGCCCTGCATTAACGTATCCGCAATTTGCGTTGCGTTACCTTAGTGTCCCTGTAAGTCTGCTTCCGCTTCTTTACCCTAAGCTGAGCGCCTCCTCGCAGGATTCTGGCGGCGGCGGACGGCGAGCTCCATTGTGTCTCGTGACACTTCTCATTCCAACCCTTTCGGCTTCCGTGCCCATATTACGTCGGGGCTCTGCAGTTCGCATTCCAGTCTAGCAGACGATTGCAGCTCCGCCTATCGATTAGAGCACTGGCTTTAGCTCACGTCTCTAAATCGAACCGTCCAAGCTTTGGACGAACTCCCAACCAAACACATCAACCCCTCACGCACCCAAATTTGCCCGGTCACCTGGCTCGGCAGTGGTCGCTTTCCTGCTTGCCCTTTTGTTTTTGTTTTTTTTTAGGAAAACAAGGTCAAACCAAGCCAACGACAGCTGCTTTTTGACATGGCCAGCCAAGATTCGAAGGTCACCGGCGTCAGTGGCCCGACGCAGTGCGTCGGACCGCTGTATCGCTCCGAGAGCCAAAAGCCTTCGGCAACCGTCTCAACTGAGATGAACTTGGACAATGTCATCATCCTCCCCCAGACACCTCAGCTAATTGCGCTTCTAACGTGAGTTAAGTATCCTTCCCTATAATCTAGCTGATCGTCGCTGTGCTTGTGCGAAGAGCATAGTGCCCCCCACCAGACAGGTTTGCCCAAGTTCCAGGAACGACCAATTAACACTCTTGTAGCATCATTCGGGATAAGAACACCGAGCGTGGTGACTTCATCTTCTACTCCAATCGCATAATTCGCCTGCTGGTTGAGGAGGGTTTAAATCACTTGCCCACAGTTGAACATGATGTGACGACGCCGGTCGGCCGGACCTACTCGGGTCTCATGTTCCAGGGCAAGATCTGTGGCGTGTCCATCATGCGTGCTGGCGAGGCCATGGAGCAAGGCTTGCGGGACTGTTGTAGGTCCGTAAGAATTGGCAAGATCCTGATTCAGCGAGACGAGGAGACGGCTCAGCCGAAGCTGTTCTACGACAAGCTTCCAGAAGACATTGCCCAGCGCTGGGTTTTGTTGCTGGACCCCATGTTTGCCACAGGTATGTATGGAGGAGACATCGATGTTCAATACTTGAGAAATCCCGCACTTTTACCCAATCGTGTCATCATGAGCGCGTGGAATTGCTAATAACGTCCACGCTAAATAGGTGGATCGGCCATCATGGCTGTCCAGGTCCTCAAAGCTAGAGGTGTCCCAGAAGACCGGATCCTTTTCCTTAATCTGATCGCGAGTCCCGAAGGCATTAAGAACTTCACATCAAAATTCCCAAAGCTCAGAGTGGTCACTGCATTCGTGGACCAGGTAAGATACCGATTGCCCTATATCCTATGTCCTTAGGTACTGGCATCTGACATTGTTCTTTACAGGGTTTGGATGAAAAAAAGTCGGTACCTGTGCATCTCACGATGCCATCATTGCGATTGCTAACTCGCTATCACAGCTACATCATTCCCGGCCTTGGCGATTTCGGCGACCGCTTCTACACCGTTTAAAAGTGCGCGCTTCGGACAAACAGGGTTATCGTGCGTCTTCGGAGCTTCGATGCTCTGGGCCGCTCTAACCAATCGCCCTCCAGACCGTAGCCAGTATGGGTGTGCCTGGGTTGAAAGTGTGGATGGTGTGCCACACTCGACGCGTGTCTCACGGTATCTTTGCCTCCTCTAGTAATCATCGTCATCTGCATCAATGCCCTCGCCTCCGTATCTTCTGTCATCATCGTCGTCGTCGTTCACCGGTCGGCTCGGAGGTGCGCGCCGGGCACCGGAAGTCTTGTTCAGGCCACTTCCACCGGCTGGTGCTTCTTTGGCAACCGCATCTATTCGTATGTCAATAACGACCTTCGTATTTGTGAATCTGCTCTACAACAAGGGAGGAGCCCACCTGCGGCGTCTACCCATTCACCGTATACATCAACAGCAGCCGAGAGGTCTGAATATGATTTAGCACAAGCGAGCGAGTGACATGTACGAACAAGAGCTTACAGTTGATGCTGCATTGGAACATCTGACCGCACACTCTGCAGTCCAGCGAACCGACACCCGCCTTCTTATCCAGCTTAACAGCTACGGAGTCCTCGTGGTTGCAGAAAAGACATGTGAATTTGGTCGGGAGGGGATCTTTCTGTTTTTTGGGGGTCAGCATCTGGCAGTTCGCATTCGAGGCCATGTGGACGAACCTTCTTGGGGCCTTGAGGCTTCGACGAACTCTTGCGCTTTCCCATGGTGCCGAAAGTCTTGAACGGCCAATAAGAGCGCGCCCAGCGCGTTGGATAACAGTCGTTAGATGTACTATAAGCCTGACGGAGGAGGCGGTGGAAAAGGAGCGCTGCGCGGTTGCCAGACGGAACAGCGATCAGCAGCAAAGCAGCGTCTTGGGGCAGTGTGGCGTGCGAGGACGGAGGTGCAGCGTGCGAACGCGATCGATGCTAGGATTTCGAAGAATGCGCGGCGCAAGGCAGACGTAGTGGACCCGTTTTAGCAATTGCGGTCAGCTTGAAAGCTCTTATCCCACGGCAGAAAGAGTCAGCCCCGTGGCTTATCGGGGAAGCGGGGTATCAACGGCAGGGGACGCTGCATTAGGAGCGGCTTACCTAATAGGTAGCAGGTGTACCGTTTTTACGTAACGTACCTAAGTAGGTGCCTCACCTTGAGGAAAGCCGGAGGCAGCTGCATGGGCGCCGGCTGGTGCTGCTGCTGTCAGGCTTACTAAGGCAAGTGAGATTTCATCATGATGCCTACCTAGGTATCTACCTAAGGTAGTCTACGTGTCTGCCTAGATTGAACCATTTACCCAATGACATAAAGCCTTGAGCGAGTCTAGAGTCTAAGTAGGCTGCTCAGCATCCGATGCCCTTGATATTCCTCTCGTACTACAACGCAGATACTGTAGGCGTAGAGTTCACATTTTTGAGTGGGGGGATCGCCCAATGGCCCTCATTGAGCCCCGCGGCGCCCAGACGAAAACAAGGTCCAGTTAGCCTCGGAGATCGGAGTCCGGCAGCACATTATATACTGCGAAGGCGTGTTGATTGTATATCTGCCGCTCAATGATGGTGTGACCTAATTCACTAGGTAGGGTAGCTAACCTCATCCACAGATCTGCTATCCATCCATTTGGATATAGCTACTAATTGTAGTACCAAAGACTCTGGTTTTGTTACCCTTTTTTTCTTTTTTTTTAGTATTTCTTTTTTTTAGTATCGCAGATAGATAGTCGCCTTCGAGTGTCTACCTACCTAGGAAACTACCTTACCTACCCTAGGTTCCCAATCCTTAGGTCAGCTCCACGCCCGCAGCCACTGCGGGGAAACGCAGGGGCAGAGACAGCCCACCAGACATCTGAAGGCACCTGCCGGGGATCTCGTCGGGTGCGCCCTTATCTTTGGCGCTGGCCGCCGCATACCTAACACATCCTACCTATCTCTTCCTCCACGTTACATGAGGTGTGGACGGCCCCGCATCTACTGTATTCCATTCCATCCTAGGCTCTGGTTCTCCCAGCCGTGGGATTGACCACGTCGTAAGGCATGTTGGGTAGGACATCATTCCTGTCAGCCAGCTACATTATCCCGCCATGGTTTAGTGAGAGCTAGGTACTCAAAAGAGGCCGAAGCCTGGGACCTGCGAAGTGCATGAAGTAAGATGATGGCCGCAAGCTCAAGCCCCAGAAGGGAAGCCAGGAGGTGCATGTGCAAGTTCCAATCGCGTCTGTACTGCACCGCCAGCAGCGGGAGGTCGAGGTGCATGCGCGGCGCCTTCCGACAGGTCACAAGGCCTCGCTCAGGCAGTGATCCTATGCTCAAGGTACCTAGGGACACCTTAGATTCAGACGCGCATCGCAGTAACGCCTTAGCCCCTCGCTTTCTGCCATCCCTTACATCCGTTTGCTACATAGTTAATCCTCTCTTCATCCGATTTAGTCATCTGTTGAACTGCCACCCTTGACGAACTGTGGACCAGCCATCGGTGGTCACCGTCTTGTCTCGTCCTTCTTAAGAGGCTCCAACCTCCCAGCTTGCGGCAACTACTTGTCGCCTAAACTTCGCTGTCTGAACTTACCCTTGGTCCCAGACTTGCTTCATCTTGTCTTACTTTCGTGGGTTTTGTCCTTCCTCCTCCTTTCCCTCCCTTCATCCTCTTTTCTACCGCCTCCTCGCCCTCTTTTTTTGCCGGCTTCTCGATCCTTGTGGCCTCACTCCTGGAAACCTCGCATTACCACCCGCCTGCAGCTGACCACGTCAAGCCCCATCTGCTAGGACTTCCGACCTGTACTGTGCCGTGAACCTCATCTTCAAACTTAGGCAGTGATGAGTACCGGAAGCCCCCCCGAAGAGGCCTTGGCCCAGGTGCTCGGCTCCCTGCGCTCCATCCAGCAAACCCAGTCGGACCTTGTAGCTGCCGTCGATTCATTGACCCAGCGATACCATCAGCTGTCTGGTGATGCCAATGTCGCCGCCGCACTTGCCCCGAGCCCCGCTATCGGCGTAGCCCCCGAAGCACCCCGCACCTCCGATGCTGCCGGTGGCTCGGACCAGCAGTCATCCGATCTGACCCTCCAGGCCCCGGCAGTTCCTTCGTCCCCAAGCCAGCGATCCGGCCTCACGTCCCGTATCATTTTAACGTATGTTCACGTTACCGAACCATTTTTCCTGATCCGGCCATTTCCTCCCACCCGCTAGCGGCATTCGAAGTCATTTCAGCTCCCCTGCTAAAGTGACCCACAGAACATACCCAAAGCAGATTGGCATCAAGCCCCTGCCCCTGACTTGGGGCGAGGGAGAGCCTCATCGCCGAGGTCCAGTTGTCGTTTCCCGATCTTCATCCACCATTGGAAGACGTAACGGTTCGTATCTTTGACACCACATCATACTATTCATGCAGTTGCGGCTAATCAAATTTTATTACCGTAGCCATCGGAGGTGAGTACCGTTTGTGCTTGGGTGGGCGACTGATTATGTACGGACTGACCTGTTGAACTTAGCTCAGTAAGTTAAACATACCTGACGCCTCTGAGAATACACTACGGCAGGCAGAACAGCGAACGCCTCGTATCTGACACAGCTCTTACCAGTGGCGGGTCGTATTCAATTTACTATGCTTTGGCTGTTGCTAGCAAACAGCTTAACCTGGAGCATAGGTAAGACCCTGTTGGATCACGCACGTTTCGCAAAATGCTCACATTCCAGACCCGATTTCACTAACACGGAGCCGGCTGCCAAAATTGGACCCTTTCCTCAATGGGGAGACCCTAAGAAGATTGTGGCCATGGATCCTTGGGGACATTTGGCGCCGTGGCTCTTCAAGGACACGATTGAAAGAGACAATGGTACGAAAACATTGAGAACATCTTCTGCACAGACAGGATCACGCATTAATACTAGGTTGAAGTCGATATCCGCCCAACTATCGCCATCACTAAGGCACACATGAAGGTTCGCGATCACACGTGCAAATGATATCGATGTGCTGACGTCTGCAGCTGCCGGAGCTGGAAGAAAGCGTCAGGACGGGAAGGCTGTGAGTTTTCTTGACGCAAGAAGTGGAGCTAGCTTTGACTGACCTGGGATGTTAGCGTTCCTGACGGCAAGGTCTGTATTAACAACCTCGGAGAGCTTGCTGTGACCAAGTTTGCCGTTGAGCCTGTATGTCGATGCCACTAAGACGATCGAAAATGACGCAGCTAACGTTGACCTAGGTGTGGTATCTGCCTGGGGTTGCCGAGAGATTCGGCATCGGTTCGTCATAGTTGCATCTCAATGACCACGGAGTATCTAACTTCGCCTCTAGACGAGGGGGCCTTGAGGCGATCCTTGTTCGAGCACACGGGCGGTAGTTACCCCGAGGTAAGGAATGTGGGCTCATCAATAATCGGGCTCTTTGCTGACTTAATTGTCAGTTAATCACTCGCGGAGACATCAAAGTTTTCCTTCCCCCCATCGGTGAGCAGGCCTAAAGCAGATTTCGACTTCAAGCTGACCTGTTGACCCGGACAGGTGGGCTGACCGTGTACTGTTTCGGTGATCCCGCCAAGATGTCAGATGAGTCGGTGCGGTTGGCATTGCGCATCCACGATGAGGTTTGCAACATGGACTCTGGGCAGTGACTTCCCCGCTTACAGTATCTTAGTGCAACGGGAGTGATGTCTTTGGATCGGATATCTGCACCTGTCGTCCTTATCTCATCTTTGGCATCGAAGAGGCGGTCAAGGAAGCCCAGAATGGTGGCAGCGGCGTTGTGATATACTTTAGGAAAGAAGGCAGAGCTCTCGGTGAAGTCACCAAGGTGAGTAACTAACGTGCCTTATTCAATGCGAACAAGGCTGACACAGAGCTATAGTACCGTGAGTGTGCCCTGAGTTGCGCGTCCGTGCCTGGTTGAACCTAGTGCAGCTACCGACCTGTCGCATAACGTTTGTAAGATAGATGCTGACGGGGAACATAGTCGTGTACAACGCTCGTAAGCGGGGTGAAGACCGGGCGTCAGACTACTTCAAGAGAACCGAGAACATTGCAGGTGTCAAGGACATGCGTTTCCAGGCCCTGATGCCGGATATCCTCCACTGGCTTGGAATCCGGAAGATTGATCGCATGCTCAGCATGAGCAAGTGAGTAGAGGCTTCTCCTAGCGAAGCTGTCGTACCGCTAACAGGTTATTTCCAACAGCATGAAGCACGACGCCATCGTGGGGCAAGGGTGAGCGATGAATTTTACGTCCAGAAATGTTAGTGGGATGGCGTTGACTGTGTCTGCAGAATTCCCATCCATGAGCGGGTAGAACTCCCAGAGGAATTGATACCGGCAGATTCCCGAGTCGAGATAGACGCGAAAATCACCGCAGGCAAGCCAACACAAGTAGACTGCGAACCATTCTGAATGCTGACATCAGAGATTAGGGTACTTCACCGCTGGAAAGCGTATGACGGAAGAAGAGCTGAGGGCTGTGCAGGGCCGGCTCTGGGAAGAGTATGTTCCCCCAAGTTGGGGTTGGAGCCAATTCATCGACCGCTGACATGCCCGCAGTATTGACCACTAGGCACCACATCCAGAACCTTGGACCGGGGGTGCGTTGAATGAGTAAGGGAGCCGCGTGGAAACAAAGTTGCCTCAATGCTGGGCAAAGATCAGCTGTGTTATTGACCCTCCCCATGTAACAACCGGTCTCCGGATGGATGGGGCGAGTAAACGTTGAACCTGCAGGTGACATAGCATCCCCCTTCCTCTGGTTATGTCGGCGGCATGAAGAAGAGGGGTGCAGCGGAAGTCGGGTAGGAATGTTGCTGCGGCATCGTCGCATGTACTGGCAAGCTGGCGGTTGAGAGACGGGAAGGCCCCATATATAGTAACGGACGCCATTGGGTTAGATATCTCCCGGTGAGCTAATTGACACGAGACGTCACTGCAACCACGTAACATGGTTGTCGCACCACCAACGCGCGTGAGGAAAGTAGGCCTGGCCTGGCCCGACCCGCATGTGCTATATGTGTGTGTGTGTTGTTAATTGGGGATGAAAAGACTTGCCAAGGAGCAACGCTTGTACCGAGCCCAGCTTCTCCAGTTCCATGTCGTTGACCGGTGCGGTGCAATGGCGGTGTTCAGCCGGGGTTGGATCGACTTCCCGGAAATGGGCGGGAAATGGCGAGAACTGGTCAGCCAAACGGTTGCCCACCCCACAGTAGCTGCATGCGTGATGCCGGCCATGCATGGCCTTTGCGTATAAGTGCCCAAACAGACGCTCACCGACCCATACAACTCTAGACACATAGTTGGGAGCCGGTCCCATCAGGCACCGGCCATGTGGCCCAATGAATGCACGCTTAGCCCGTCAGCGGAAAACCATCGACCAGGCTCGGCCCCTCCCTCGTGGACCGATGCTCCCGCCAGGTAGCCGGGCTTGATGGCTGTTGATAATGCGCATGATTTCCCCGTAAGGAGGGGGTCAAAGGCAAATATGATTTCCACCCGGCTCGTACTTAATGAAATTTTGGTAAAACCGATCAATCAACCGTGAGCATTCACGGCTAGCCGGGGCAGCATCCTTCTTTATCCATTCAATCATACGACAATCCCTCCGGCAACTATGGCGGCCGTTGCTCGGGATTTGCGAGACGATGACAACATGAGGAGAAGGGAATCGTCGCCTCGAGCAGATTGTCGACGCCGACCGAGGCTGCTACGAGCCAGTGCAACTGAGCCTTCCATCACAACAACGTCGAATGCCAGTCGGGGTGCCATATCAAGTCCGCAGTCAACTCAGGGAGCCGCCGAGTTGCTCAATCGCGTCGCAGTATACTCCGGTCCAGCCCCTGAGTACTCACCCACTTCGGGTGCGGCACCTCCCATGGCATCGTTGAGCGCCGAGGACGTGACCGTGGCGTCCGCCGACCGCGTACAGGCTCACAGGGAGCACCATCCTTGTCCGTGAAGTCCCAGGACGTTGGACAGCAACGAGTTAACTTTGCTGACGACAAGCGTTGTTCAGATTCGAACGGGTATTTCAGCTTTCCCAATTTCGATGCCTGGGACGGAGAGCGGCGCAGTGACGACAAAGAGGAAGATGTTTGAGCAGCTCGATGAAGAAGGCGGCAACGGCAGGCAGAGTTGAAGAACGTTCGCCCCTCCCAGAAATGAGACGTTTCTGAATGCCTCACGAAAGGCATACGGTGACGATGATGACGGGGCCCTACGGGCTGTCCACGGTTCTGCATGAGCCGTATGACCTAGCTAGGAATGTCACGGCCTCGAGGGGTGGGTACATGTCAGTAGCCAACTGTCTTTTCGACCGAAGAAAACGAGCCTGAAGACAAGGTGGGAGGTTTTATCGTGGTTTTATGCTGCATCGGCGAATGCGCAACGAAGACGTGCACGAGGTGACTGGTGGCGAGTGGACAATCGCCACCGGGGCTCGTCAATAGATAAGAATTAGGCGTTTGTATGGTCTGGGTGGGGAGGTAAGGACAGAAACACCATAGGTCGACTTCACCGGTCATAACAGAACGGACAACACCACTTGGGTAGAATGAGGGAGGGATTATGGGCATAACACCTCTGCAAGTGGGATGAATGGATGGCGTCGAGCAAACAATTGCGGAAGCCCTGAGAGTTGTACTTTTCTACTGGATATCCGGGTGCAGGATGGCGTCAGGTAGTCGATTCCTTCTGTTGGTGCCATTGTGGGAGTTGAGATGCTTCATTGTAAAGTTTGATCGTGATAGGCAAATTACAGCGTGTTCCTGAACGTTGTGTTGTGCTCAACGTAGGAAGGATCCGCCAATCGACCGACGGTCCACGTTCAGCCACACTACCTATCTGTGCGGCTGCAGCCACACCTGGCTGACCTGTGACATTCACTGCCCAGAGGCTACCCACACCACACCACCCTACCTCAGGTACCTAACACTCATCTAGTGAGGTACGGTGTAGGGACTGCCGGCCCACGCCCCCCTGTAGGTACAGTCCCTGTACCAGGAGTGGGTCTTTGGGGCTGACTGAACAATTTTTTTTCATGATTTTGTGCATCACGTGATCACAGTGCGGAAAAGACCGTGCGTGGCTTCATCTAGTTCGGTGTCTCTAGGTGCTGACTTTGGGGCAGGGGCAAGCACAGTGCTGTCCCGGGGTTGCAGGCAGCCTGGATTACATAATTCGAACGGGGCACACTCGCTAAGAATTTCGGCCACACAACCTGCGCTCTCAATTTTATCACCAGCGAAAACACCACCCCTCCAATCTTTCAACTACTCAACGTTCATCCGCCAGACAAATAGCAGCCGCCCAAAATGGCTGTTGGAAAGTAAGCGACATCCCTCCCGCAGACAAATAACGATGCGCGCGCCGTCGAGTGTCGCTGCCGTACCCGTTCTCGTCGTCAATTGCTAACCACACTGCTTTCTCTAGGAACAAGAGATTGTCCAAGGGCAAGAAGGGTCTCAAGAAGAAGACCGTGGACCCCTTCTCCCGCAAGGATTGGTACCAGATCAAGGTAAGGGTCGGCGCGACCACAATTTCGGCGACATGTAGCTGACAATGCTGCGACAGGCCCCGGCCCCCTTCAACGTCAGAGAGTGAGTTCTGCCAGCCCGATTTTCCAACAACCGGATAGCCCGCAGCGATAGAGGACCGGCAGCGAACTCGGAGGACACGATCGAGAGAGATTGAAGGAGGAGGCGCAGACAGGGCTGGAGATTACTTCGCAAGCGGATTGCTGACTCCTTCTGCAGTGTCGGCAAGACCCTGGTCAACAGAACCACCGGTCTGAAGAACGCCAACGATGCCCTCAAGGGCCGTATCTTGGAGGTCTCTCTGGCGGACCTCCAGAAGGACGAGGACCACGCTTTCCGCAAGGTCAAGCTCCGCGTCGACGAGGTCCAGGGCAAGAACTGCCTGACCAACTTCCACGGCCTCGACTTCACCTCCGACAAGCTCCGCTCCCTCGTCCGCAAGTGGCAGACCCTCATTGAGGCCAACGTCACTGTCAAGACCACCGACGACTACCTCCTCAGACTCTTCGCCATCGCTTTCACCAAGCGCCGTCCCAACCAGATCAAGAAGACGACATACGCTGCTTCTTCGCAAATCCGTGCCATTCGCCGCAAGATGACCGAGATCATCCAGCGTGAGGCTTCCACCTGCACCCTCACCCAGCTTACCTCCAAGCTCATCCCCGAGGTTATCGGCCGTGAGATTGAGAAGTCCACCCAGGGCATCTACCCCCTCCAAAACGTACGTTTCAGGTCCATGCGTGGTGTTGCGCGCAATTCTCAGAGCTGACTCGATATTTTCAGGTCCACATCCGCAAGGTCAAGCTCCTCAAGCAGCCTAAGTTCGACCTTGGTGCCTTGATGGGTCTCCACGGCGAGTCTGGCACCGACGACCAGGGACAGAAGGTTGAGCGTGAGTTCAAGGAGCGCGTTCTTGAAGAAGTCTAAGGAGCAAGAACTTAGACGGAGGAAGGTTCGGCAGCAGGGGACTCTGGCTCTATCGGCCGGGAAACAAATTCGGCATTGTTTAGGTCGTTGCACATGGCGTAGCATTCAGGCGGCTGCGGGTCTAGGTTACCTCAAAATGGTAAATGGTCAATTCTTCAAGACACTGTGCCGGGTGTGCGCAGCCTCGCTTCCGAATCATGATGGCAAGACTTGGGTTTCGGGATCCGACTGGAGGATATAAAAGAAAAAGGCGTCATGTGTGTATGTGGAATGGACGGACACGTTTTTTGTTGCAGTCCGTTTTCGACCAAGAGCAGACTCTCGCAGTACCACCAATGCGACTTCGTTCCTGGAACAAGCATGGCTCATCGCGGGTTCTAGTGACTGGAAGACTCAATTTACAAGGGTCGTCTTTGTGGTGACGTAGTTTGCATCCCCGATTCGGGGCATGTCAAATTGGACCTGGTGTGTCTAAATAATTGTCTATCCCATGCCTGTCTACGAATGAACACAACCCTGCCCTATCCTCCTCTGCCACGCACATGCGTTCTATGACGTCTTCCGCTATTCGGGTCCCCTCAGAAACTCGACGACCGCTGCAACTCATGCGTCAGTTCTTGCTACGCGACCGGTATTAATGGCAACTTACCCTGGCGGAAGTCTTCCGGCTTCTCTGATATCACCCAATGACCGGCGTCGATATCTGCCAGCCGAAACCTGGGGAAGAATTGTCCGATAATGGGCAAGACATCATCCGGTACATACTTGCTTTGGGTTCCGCGGACAAAAAGAGCAGGCTTCTCGAAACGAACCTTGCTCGGATCTTTGTATGGGAAGTCCCCCATGTGGTTCAAAGAACGACCAATGATGTCCAGTGGAACTCGAAACTTTTGCTCCGGCTTGCCTGCTTGGGGCCGGTGTAGGTTGCCAAGCAGGAATTGACGAATGGGCAGAGACTTATGTGACAAAGTCAATGAATTGTGCGCTGCGTTTGGGCACAGGAGAGTCTTACACTTTCATACTCTTTGAGAATCTGGTCCGCCTCTGTCTGCCTCGTGACATTGGCAGTTTCGATCCTTCTCATGCCTTGGATATACTTCCCAAACCCACTTTCCAGCACTGCATCCACCGGCGCATTGTCGACCGCGACGATGTCCTTGACGAGATCAGGCGATTCCAACGCAAGTGACATGGCTGCCTTAGCACCCCTTCAGAAGACATGGCTCAGTACGCGCCATCTGTTTGAAATCTGGTAATCATTTACTCACATCGAATGGCCGATGATGGTCGGTTGACGGAGGTTATGCTGGTCTATGAAACCCGCCACATCATCTGCCATGTGTACGTAGTCGTGGTGCCAGTCATGGGGCGACTCTCCGTGATTGCGCAGATCCTGGCATCATCATCAATACCTTGGCCAAGTCTTGCGAGTAGCTTCTTTACCAATGCATAGACGGGTCTCCCAAGATCACGGGCGAGCACTCTGGAAGTGTGTGAGAAAACGGAATCTGTGCATGGCGGGTTAACTCACTTGCTGATGCTTCTGTTGTTCTTTTTCGACCCAAAGAGGCCATGAAGGAAAATGATAGGGGCAACCAACCCAGCGGCTGGTTTGCTTGGCTCATGCAAGTCGTAGGAGAGCGTCAGCCTACTCTGGGTCGACAGAGGCTTCAGCTGTGATGATCCAGCCAGAGTACCCTGGCGAAGAAAGCGCTGCATCGTGAGTAACGTTATTTTTGCTGAAGTGAGATGAGGCTGGTGAAAATTTATGCAGTGCTAGAGTAATAGTAGATAACTTCTAATAAGAGCTAATATAGTAAACTATAAGTGTTTAGGTATCTTTTTAATATAGTAATATACTACAGTAATACACTATAGTAATATACTATAGTAATATAATATAGTAATATAATATAGTAATACACTATAGTAATATACTATTATAATATACTATAGTAATATAATATAGTAATATATATAGGCTGCTAGCCTTATATTATGAAATTTAACTAGTATTAACTATAAAAGCTAGACTAGTCCCCTCGCCCTCTACTAATAGCCTTTAAGTTATATAACTACTTAGATATCTTCTTCGCCTCTATACTCCTCTATTAGTCCTTTAGGACTTTAACTATTATAATAAGCCTTAACTATCTTTCTCTAACTATCTCTATCTCTATTAATCTCCTCTATTTCTCTTTCCTCTACTATTTAGATATCTATACTATAATAGATAATATCTTCTACTCTACTATATAGTCTTAATATAAGAAGAGCCTTACTACTATTAACTATACTCTTAATATATTCACCCTTCTTAACTTACTAACCCTTTAGATTACTTTAGCTATCTTAAGGAAGTCTATAAAGTATTTATAAGTATTAGGATTATTATTAATAATTTTAACTATCTTTATATTAATTTTAAGACTATATAATTTTAGTATATTATACTTATTAACTATCTTAAGTAAATACTTCTAAGTAAATTTAAGTAGAGTTTTCTTAATAGTATAGAGAAAGTTACTATATTTAAAACTTTTAATTTTATTTACTTTAGTTTTATAGATTAAGTTATTTAAAGTAACTTTACTTAACTTATATATAAGTATAATAAGGGGAAAAGATATTATATAAAATTATTATATATATAAGAGGATATAAGGAATAGATTTAAAACCTTATTTAAATAGTTTAGTTCTTATATTATAGCTATAAAAACCTTTTTAGTTATATAAAAAATTATACTATTAAGTTTATACCCTTAAGTATAAGTTTAAGCTATTATTAAGCTCTAGCTATATTATAGATAATACCTTTATAATATTATAAATAATATTCTTATAAATAATAGTATTATAAATAACGCTCTTATTAATATATTTTATTACTCTACTACCTACTTACCTATCCTCTTCTATATAGTTAAAGATAAGTTAAGCTAAGAATTAATAACTAGTTATACTAAGATTTATTTATTTACTTTATTAAGATTAAGTATAAGTTAAAGTGCTACTATTAGGTTTAAAATATAGGGAAAAAAAAGTATAAAGTAAACTGTAATACCTACTTATATAGATTAACTAACCTACTAATATAGTAATATATACTTAATAGTTAGGCTACTAGCCTTATATTCTAAAATTTAACTAGTATTAATTATAAAAGCTAAACTAGTTCTCTTACCCTCTTATATAGAATTAGGATTATAATGCTAAGTCTTTAAGTTTATAGTTATAACGTAGCCCCCCTATAAAAAGACTATAGTAAAATTCACCCTATATATAGGTATAATTCTAAAAATACTATATAGGTACTTTAACCTATACCCTCTACTAATTAAGGAAAATAGTATAGAAACCCTATATATTCCTATTAATAAGTAAACCTTCTAAATATTATAAAGTTAAATATACGCCCTAATTAAATAGATTAATAGAATAGTAATAGAGCTAGCTATATAATATAGAGCTAGTAGTACTATATATAGTAAAACTAATTATATTAGACTAAATAGGTTACTAAAGCTCTTATAGCTTAGTAATAGCTTTACTAAACTCTCTAGTAAAGTTAATACTACTATATAAGAGATAAATTCTTAATTAAAGAGGTTATTAGAAGAGGTTCTTATAACTAGAAGTATAAAAACTCTACTACTATATATAAAGCCTTATACCTATCCCTCTTCCTTTTCCTCTTCCTTTTTAATTTATAATAAATCCTTTATAATATTTATACTATATAAGGAATATAAAAATACTAATCCCCTATAAAATATACCCTTTATTAAGGAGATAGCTAAAGCTATTATTATAAAGTATAATATCTATATACTAGATAAAACCCTTAAGTTTAATATATACTCTACTTCTAATTAGGAGTACTTTATTATAGTAATATTAGATATAGTTTTTAAGAATATCCCTAAAAAGAACCCTCTCTATACTATAATTAAGGTAATAAATACCTCTTATAACCTTAAAATAGAGGTTATATATATCTCTAGCTATCTTAAAGAGTAGCTCTTCTTTATATAAGCCCTCTATAATACTAAAGTAGATATAACTTATACTTAAATATAAGCCTAATAGGGGAATATTAGTAAGTACGCCTTATATTAAATAAAGAGAGTATTACTAATAATAGTATAAATAGTAGATAGTAAAGTAGTAATAGAGATAGTATTTAATAGTAATATAGGTAATATATAAGAGAGAGGATAGGTTAATAGTTTAGTAATTAGTAATTAAGTAATTATAAACTATATTATTACTAAAGTGAAGTTGAAGATTATAAGGTTATATATATATATAAGTATAGTTATAGTTAGGAGAGGGATATAGTTAGAGATTATAGTTATATAACTAAAGGCTGTATATATTATTAGGAGGCGTAGAGTTAAGAGGTCTATCGCTCTAAGTAGGTTAAAATCACTATAAACAGCTAGAGGCTTAATACTAAGTCTTAGCGCTAAGCTATTACTAAGCCTCTATTAAGGTTTAATAATATTAAGTAGCTAGGCTTTAAAAAGGGGCGCTATATATATAAGTAGCTAAAAAGGCTAACTTACTTAGTAAATACTAATTAACCTTTATATTTTAAACTTATATTATTCTTTTATTTTTCTTTAGTTTAGTTTCTTAAGTTATACTATTATAAAATTTTTTTTTATTTACTATAGTGATAAGTCCTAAGTTATAAAGTAGATTAATAAGTATATATAAAGATACCTCCCTAATAGCTATACCTATAGCTATAGAGAAGGTTATATCTATAGCTATAAGGGGCTAGCTCTTTATTTATTTAACTAAGAGGTGCCTTAATTATAATAATCTAAGCTAAAGAAAGGAAGTTCCTTATATAGAGAAAAAATAGGTATAAGGCGCCTATTAAGTAAATATAGTTACTAGGGGTAGAATTCCTAGTAATTTATAGTATTATCTAAATATAATAAATAAGTATAGCTTATAATATATACTTCCCCCCTCTAGTTTTTATATAAATATAGGTTTAGTATAAGCTAAAAATAACTAATATAAGCTAAAAATAAGCTTAGAACTTTATTAATCTAAACTACTAACTATATTATACTCTATAAATAAATAATATAATAATATAATTTTTTATATTTAGTTTACTTTTAGTTTTTCTTTCTCTTATTAACCTATATAGTAATAAGTTACTTAATTTTTTATATTATTATTTAACTAACTTATTATTATTATAGCTATATTTTTAATATACTTTTAGTTTATTTATCTTATAAATTAATTAGATCTAAATCCCTATTAATTATTAATTTATATAGATCTAGTTACTACTTACTTAGCCTCTATAAATAGTACCTCCTATATATTATTACTTATTTTTTCTCTATTATTTTACTATAATTAACCCTATATAGCTTACCTTATTAAACTCTAATATAGAGATAGAATCTCCTTCTACTATTATTAGTAGTACTTTACTCTCTAAGTATTCTAACTTTATTAATTTCTCTAACTATAAAAAGTTTATTATAGAGGAGTTTAATATCCTTAATAACCCCCTCTATACCTTAATAAATAAGGATATTTAAACTTATTTTACTTAACCCCTCTCCCCTTATTATATTATTAAGAACTCTATTTTTATATATTTTTCTTATATTTATTTATTACCCTCTTAATATTCTATTAAAGCTCTTACTTATACTAGCTTATTTTTAATAATATCCCTCTAAATAATACCTAAAAACCTCTCTATAAGGTCTCTTATTTAAAGTATATATCTATTATAACTAAAACTAAGAAGTTTAGTAATATTATAGCTTATTATAATATCTTTAAATAAGGTAGGTATATTATCTTTATACTTTAAGATTATTCTAAAACTAACTATTTTATTAAGTAATATTACTTAATATATCTACTACTTTAATAAGACTATTAAGTCTATTTATATTAATATAAATACTTATCCTCTACTATCCTACTACTATAAAACTAATAATTTATTAAAATAATAAAAATATAATCTACTATTAAGAGGAGTTTATTTCTCTTAGCTATAACTATTTTACTTATTATAGTATTAATAAGGATATTTTAGGGCCTCTAGCTGTTTATAGTGATTTTTACCTGCTTAGAGCGATAGACCCTCCTAACTCCACGCCTCCTAATAATATATATAGCCTTCAGTCATATAATCATAACTCTCCTAACTATAGCTATACTTATATATATATATTAGTTAATAACCTTATAATCTTTAACTTCACTTCAGTAATAATATAGTTTATAATTACTTAATTACTTAATTACTAATTACTAATTACTAAACTATTAACCTATCCTCTCTCTTATATATTACTTATACTACTAATACTATCTCTATTACTACTTTACTATCTACTATAATAGCTTCTTTAGAAATAAGTTATTACTAATATTCTAATCTTCTTATTTAATTAGGCTAGCTAACGCCTTTATAGCTATACTATTATTAATAATACTATCTCTATTAGTTAGTATAAGATATACTTATTAATCTCTATATAAGGTCTATATCCTCTTTTATACCCTTAAGTACTTTAGAAAAGAAGTCCTATTTATTAAAGTAACTAAAGATATAGTTAAACTCTATATTAATATTATCTAAAGTTTTCTTAATAAGAAGGATAATATTACTACTTATAGAGGTTTCTAAGAAACTTATTAATAAGGCTATTAAAATAATAT